GAGGGTTGGATGCCCTTTTTGTTGGGTTCTTTTGCCCCCCGGTACTCTTTCCTGCCATGGCAGGGGGTCGGACTAGATGATCTGCCCAGGTCCCTTCCGACCCTAGAAACTATGAAACTATGAAGCAGGTCATCCTCCCCCTCTATGCAACATTGGTCAGACCACAGTTGGAGTACTGCGTCCAGTTCTGGGCGCCGTAATTCAGGAGGGATGTGGCCAGTAGCGAGAGGGTTCAGAGGATGCCACTCGCATGATCAGGGGGCGGCAGGGCAGGCCCTATGAGGAGAGGCTATTGGACCTGAACCTGTTCAGCTTCCACAAGAGCAGGCTGCGAGGGGATCTAGTGGCCGCCTATAAATTTGCCAAGGGAGAGCAGCAGGCAATGGGAGAGTCCCTGTTCCCCCGAGCACTACCGGGGGTAATAAGGAACAACGGCCATAAGTTGACCAAGAGTAGATTCAGGCTAGGTATCAGGAGGCGCTACTTCACGGTCAGGGCGGCTAGGGTCTGGAACCAGCTTCCAAGTGAGGTGGTGCAGGCTCCCACCCTGGGGGTTTTTAAGAGGAGGTTAGATGACCATCTTGCTGGGGTCGTTTGACCCCCAGTACTCTTTCCTGCCATGGCAGGGGGTCGGACTAGATGATCTGCCCAGGTCCCTTCCGACCCTACCTACTATGAAACTATGAAAAAGAATTAAGATTAACTTTAACACAAAATAGTCTCACACAAAAATGGAAAAATACAGTGGCAGACCCAAAATCACTCCCAGATTTAGAGGTATATTCTCTATAGGGTAGTACCCACAGGAAGTCTCTGTTCTTCAAGTGAACATGGTAAGCTCCACCATTTACTAGGATAGTGTTTGAAGTGTGGTCCCATTCTCACCCTTCCTGCTTTTAGACACATCCCAAACTCCTGTTGTAAATTTCTCCTTGTGTGTAGACAGCTCCCGGAGGATTCCAAGAGTTAAAGGAGGAGTGAGCAGTAGAATGAGACTCATTTTAAGGGTTACATTAATTCAGCCTTTTAGGAAGCTGAGTAATAAGAGGGTAAGACATGGCATCTTTTTCTCTGAAGGCATTGCTCAGTGATAGCTTAAGTCTATGGTGCATGAGTAACAGGTTCATTTTTAAACCCAGTGCAACATTTCAAGGTTTTCAGGTTTGCAAGAACAGCAGACAGTTGCCTGTTAGCTGTAATAATAAAACTGAGTTTTCACTTTACTTCTGAAGTACTGTAGAAGAAAGGCAGAGCAGTCATTAAAAGCTACTGCCAAATGGCTCAGTATTCACAGTTCTTGTAGGTGTCCTAAATGGGGCTGTGGAGCAGCAGGAGGCTAGTAGCATCATTCATGTAGATTCACCAAAGCTGGGACTGGAACCCAAATCCCTTTGCCTCTGACCGGAGTCTCTACGCCAGCACTCTCGCCCCCGTCTGTTCCAGTGAGTCACTTGTTCTATGCAGAAATGGAACAACTTCAAGTGGGATTTACTACACCAGGTGTGCTTTCTCTGCCCATGTGTCCTGGGTCCAGAAATGGTGTATTCAGAGCTAGCTCAACTATCTCTGGAAGGTGCTTTCTCATGCTGTATAAATCCTTATGCACCAAGGCAACAATTTTATGACCAAAATCTTGGGGACCTCTAGGATTAGATTGCAGCTAAGGATCACAATTTGGACTTTGTATGTTTGAGTTGGAGCTCAGCATCTAGCCCAGTGGTAATGTAAACGGTGCTGTCCATCAGAGTTCAGCTCTGGGTTTTTCCTCAAATGCTGGAGACTAGAAGTGGGACTGAGTGCTCGTGGAGCCTGTGGTGATAGGCAGCTTCCCCATCCTGATGACTAAGTTAACACAAGTTCCTTTCCCCACCCCCTTCCTTGTTGCACTATCAAACCTTCCCTTGGTCTGTAGTCTGCTCAGCTGTGTGCCTTGCAGACACGACACAAGAGTAAACAGGAGACAGATCAGTACCGCAGAAAGCTGCCTGTTAAACTAGGGGTTTACATCCTAGGAGAAAAGGGAGCAGAATTTCCCCTCAGAGCTTCAGGAAACCTTCCCCCAATCAATTCACAGAGAAGTGCATCTTCATGAGCTTTATACATTTTATTCAGAATAGGGCCTGGCAGAAGCAGAGTACAGAATTGCATGAGATCTGGCTCTCTGAGGTCTCTGGCCCCTGGCCACTGCCACTCTCCGATTTCTTTTTAGTTGGCTATTTTGGGCTTCTAGCTACACTACTCCAATTGCTTTGGGTCATTTCTCCTCCACTATCCAACTTGTGTCTGATTTCTCCAGTCTCCCCTTAGTCACCTTCAGAATTCTGCAGTTCATATTGCTCACCCCAAAACCAGGGCCCTAGATTTATTTTCCAGACAAGCTATAATGCAGTGCAGGATGCAACAGGGCAGCAGAGTTTTACTTATTTACTCATTATCAAGGTCTTCACAATAACTAGTCACATCATGGCCATAAATTAAAGCCCAGTTGACAATTAAATTGCTAAATTTACAGATAGCAGAGGCTGTTGAGAATAAATTGATGAGTACATTTTTTTTCCCCGCCAGAAATAATTCTAGGCAGCGCTATATATTTTTCTCAACAGTGAAATCCATCTGTTTTGTAAAATTCTAAAATCTTTCATGTTAGAGCTGCCATTCCTTTCTCTGGGGAAAAAGGGGGAGCAAGGGAGGCCAGGGTTCCCTTTAAATGCCTTTCTGTTCCTTTGTCACAGTGTTATCTTGTTTTACAAGTGCTCTGTTTACGAGAATGCCATGAAGAAAAATGTTCATTTGAGTTCCATAATCACATAAGACTACTTTGTAAGGGCTTGATCCAGCAGAATACAGTCTCAGCAGCTGCTTGCTCACAAAACTTTGCAATTGTGGAGACTAATTAAGATTCTTCAGAGGAACTCCCTTCTCTTTGGTGGTTACAGAATGCCTCATTAGACATTCTGTACCTCCCCCTTCTCCAGAACAGTCGGTCTAACTGTGCCTAGCCTACATTTATAGCTTTTATGAATTACCAATTGATTCCATAATCTCACTGCTTTGTCTCTGAATAAAGTAGCTTCCTTTAAAGGAAAAAGTAGCATTCCACAGTCAACTCTTCTAAAACAGAGTTAAGTTAGTTGTTAGAGTGAACTCAGATAAGGGAGTACCTCACCTTCTCTTCGAGGCTGTAAGGAGTCAAGGATTTGCATGTCATAATAAAGAGAGGATGCAATTACAAATAAAAAAAAGCAAGAAAAAAAAAAAAAGCTATTAGGAGCTGATAGTGAAAGTTAAGGATAGCCTCACCACTATCTGAGATGCATTTAAAAAACAGAAAAAATACAGTGAAATGACTTTTAAATCAACTTGACGAGGCTTGATGCATTCATTTAGCAGTCTTCATGCCCGTGCCCAATTTTTTATGTTGATCTAGTAAAATTTTGCTACAGCAAAATTTCTTCAATATCAAGCTCAAGCAATGTCACTTCAGTAATATTATATCTACTATCTCCACAGATGCCAAATTATTGCCAACAGGACAAATATTGGGTTTATGAAAATAGCTGGCATCAATATACAAATACTATAACCTTGGCTATCCTCAGTGGTAATTTTGGTACGCTAATAATTTTGTTTTCATTTCTAAGAATAAAAATCATATTTATAAATCATTAATTTTCAATTATTCATATTTTCCTAATACTTTTTCTTAAAGATTTCTTAATGTAAATAGTAGTAGGCCAATGCATGTTCAATTCCAAACTTTTTTCGATTTTTAAATGACCTTCTTTAAAGTCAAACAGTTTTAAAGTATACTTTAAAAAATAATTAATGGTAGATATGGAAGACATCATTTGCTATGTATTTTATGTCTAGAAAGACAAATTAATTATATACTGTTTTACAAAAATTCAAGCTGGGATATTTTTCCTTGCTAGCAGGTAAATAAGTCTTATTGTCTGAAGCTTTTGAAAATACTTACTCCTCCTCAAACGGAATATTAAGATGTTTAAGCATTCATAACATTTACTGCACAAAGACAAAAACATAAAACAAAATGCTTTATTCTCTGGGAATACAGTGGAAAATATTATGGTTCCCCATACTATTTAAATTTTTTTTAAAGGCATTCTCTTTTCTTTGAATACAGCAATATATATACAGACAAAATGATCTGTAGTTTAGCAATCTTATTTTTTTCTGCTGAATAAGATTTTCTTTCTTTCTTTCTAATATTCAAATAAATGGGGATTTGAATAAACTACTACAAGACGTCCAACTGGATTTATATTTCCTACTGGATGATGCCATCTCTGCAGCTCAAACATGTAAAAGCAGATTAGGAGGCTGAAAATGCAACACCAATTTGTAGTTATTACAATTCTCACCAAGTTGCTGTGCAACAAACCGCAAAACTTCACCACTGCCACAATAAAAGAGCGAGAAAGCCACAAGGTAAATTGTTTGTCTGTCTCTCTCTCTCTTTTCTTAACAGAGACTTGCAGGCTAGCTTTCTGTCGCTGGAACTCTACTGCTGTTTGGTTTAAAGTTGAGAAACTACTCATTATTTTGTTATGTATTCCTGGAAAAAAGTCTACGGTTTTGTTTATCTCCCACTGCCAGAATCTGTAGCTTTTCAAGTGCCGCAGAAAAAAGATCAAAGGTAAAATACAATAATTTCTCTACTTCTCTGTTGTGGGCGGGTGTTCTAAGGAGCACAAAAAAAATTGTAAGGATATTTGAAAGTTTAACTGTATAAATTACTCCAATTTTCCCAAAACTTCTATCATAATGTATGTCCAAGTACTGTTGAGAGCGGAGGTAGGAATGGGGGAAACCATGATTCATTCTGAGTTAAGCTTTCATTTCTAAAAACATCTTACTAACTCTGCAAAAGTATTATTTTCAACAGACAGTAAGTGAATATTTGGCAAAATGTTTGCAAACTGAAACAGGATATAATGTTGTCTAAATCTGAAATAGCAAATCCCAAAATATCTAATGCTTTTCTTTATTCAGATTAGACATAACAAATGTGTCAGGTACAGCAGTTAGTCTAGAAAAATACATTTAAAAAATCTTCAGCAGACCATGTTCCCTGTAACAAAATCTTCCAAAACCAATTTTACAAATTAATCTACATTAATGTAAAAAGGAATTCTCAAATTTAGCATCATCATTGTTTCCATCAAACATCTATCTATGAAAACATGGGTTTCCACTATCTGTAGATGTTAGAATTCATAATACATTTCTCTAATGTATCCTGTACATATTAAATAATCTAAAAGGCTCCTCTTGTAGTGCATTAACAATTTAGCAAGCACACACACAGTATTTTTCCAGTACCATTTGCATTATATTTATTTGCCTGCAAATGTAATTAACATCTAAAAGTGCACGCAGTTAGCTTTCCCAAACAATCTGTTTCTTTGCAGAAACCCAAACTGGAAGTATTAAGCTACCTGTAGCTACTCTACTCATGATTAGAAATGTGCGACTAGAAGGTACTTTGAGACTATACAACTGATTTTATGTACATAAGCCAAAGGCCATTCAGTCTTTAGCATGTATTTACATTGAAAAATGTTCACTACCACAGGATCATACTGAAAACTCAGTATAGCATTAGAAAAGATCGGTATTTACTTAGGATTGTTAGCTGCAAATCAATATAGCACAAACCGTGACCCAAGAAATACCCTGAAAATGGACTTGTGTATTAAATAAAAATTCTAGATCACCACAGAACAAATATCCTCTGCTGGATAGTCTTGAAAGTTCAGTGTTTAAAATACTAGTGCGCTGCTTTATCAAACCATTAAAAAAAAAATTCCACCAAGGATAATGTGCAATATAATAATTAAAAAAAAAAAAGCCTCAAATGAAGGATTAGATTTGGATTACTGTAAACCAAACTGGCCACTGTTAGCACTAATTTAAGCAAGCCACTGCATGCAGAAACCCAGCTGTAATGATCCACACAGGATCAAATAGATTTAGTACAAGAGCTTAGGAAGCAATTCTTTTCACTTAAATTTTCAAGGCCAGTTAATAGATATCTTGCCCTACCAACTGGGGAACTTAAAAAAAAATAAATAAAATAAAAAGCAGTTCCAGATTATCCAGTTTGAGATCAAGTTTTTCTCATCAAGAAATCCAGTGTATGCCTATACCAGATGTGTAGTTTGTTACAAAAAATGCAGAGTATAAACTACTGAAATTTTGTAACGAGTGAAATCCAAATGTTAATAACTTGCATAAATAGCAGTTAAAATGGTCAAACTCTCCTCCTGTTCCTTCCTTCCTGCCCCACCCCCAAAAGTGCAAAATCAAGATGCTGCTTGGTCCACAAACACAATACATCACATACAGAGATATCTGACTTTTGATGGGACACTGCTGCCAACCCATCACTTCCAGTTTGCAGTCCGAGAACACTTCAGCGTCCAAAGATGGAGTTCAATTCCAGCAGAATTAATTCTACAATCTGATTCTGGTACACTGTATGGACCGCTATGTTACCAGTCTCTTTTTCTGGCTTTAATAAAGTTGGACCAAAAACTATTGCTATACTTTGATAGGTCATTCGGTTCTTCTCTCCATTTTCCACTACTCTAGAGGGGGGGAAAAAGAAAATACACTTTAAAAATAAATTAATCAATTAGTGTTAGCACTTATTATTGTCAATGAGTTTTTTCCTTTTGCTTTTCAACACATTTATTCCTCCTGTCATCTATAAAGCACTGCTGTCATACAGCCACTGCTGTAACTCCCTCCACTTAGGAAATCTTATACTTGAACCAATATTCTTGATAGCATCCCAACCTCAGATCCCTATAATCTAAAGCCGTGGACAGTGTTTCAGTTTATTCACTGGTAAACTTGGGTTCATGGCTTTGGAAGCTTGTATAAACATAAGTCTGATGCTCTACTTTGATTAAAACACAATGAACATCAGAAGGAAAAAAGTAGTACATCGGTCCCTCAGGACTTATATTTTTTAAGAAAGTTCAGCTGTGCAATAAGACTCTCTCCTCAGTCTGCTACTTACCTCTTGAGGTGTTTGAAAAGTACCTGCATGGTATCTTGGTTTGGCTTTGGCAATTGCTTAATTAAATCTTTGACAGCATGGACACGTTGTCTTGGTTCTTGTTCTGGAAGAGATAAAAGTTTATAAAACATAATTCAATTTCATTTAAAATGTATCAAAAACTCAATGAAGGCACAATTCTGCATTGCTGATATTAGGTAGCATACTGCCATCTGCTGGCCAAATTATATACTACTGGTAAATGATCTTCAGTAAGACAGCATTTCATAATATCTCCTTTTGAAATGATGAAAAGGAGAATAATTAAGTATACTGTGCACGATGTGTGAAAATTCTGTGCATGTCTCTGGACTTACTAATTGCATTGACAAAGTCATTGAAGTGATTATATGTGAAGAGTGGTTCTGGCAGCTCTCTGAAAAACATTTTTAGCGCTCCTGTGATGACATGTATGTCTTCCCATTTACTGTCATTCAAGTGTAATTTCTCATCTGAAAGACAAGGTAAAGAATATAAATGTAGGCAATTTAACCAACCTAAAACCCAAGACACATCTCTACATCTCTACTCTTATTTCCAGGACTTGGCATTAAAACCAAGGATGACATTCTTACCCCAGCTTCAGCCCCCTTTCTGCTGGGTAAGAGAATGGGAGCAGTAGCTCTACATGCTGTGTACCTACCGGTTAGAGGAGTTGCAGCATCAGCACTGTGGACCCCCCATGTAAGGCTGATCCAATGACCCCCTATCAAAGTTCTGATGCAATATGTGGCAATGCAGCTCATAGGTCAGCCCTGAAGCAGCTACAGTAACAGAGACAGACTCACAGGACTATCTAGGTTATGCAAAGGGACTTTTCAACCTTCAAAACAGTACAGGTTTAAGATGGTCAACTGGCTTAAAGTCAGTTTGACTCCAAACTCCTCTGGACAGAGTCCTTTGATGGACCTTTCAGGAGTGCAGAAGAAAATCCCATTGATGATGTAAGTAGCAGAAAAATATCAAGTGCTATTGTAAGTTCAGCTATTTAGGTTGGTCTAATAAAAGATATCAAATTCACCCAAGGAACCTTGTCTGCCTATGTCCTTAGACCAACACGGCTACAACCTAAACCCCTGCATTGTAAGTTCAGTACACTTGGTTGCTTTCTATGGAGTATGGAAATGTTTTATTTGAATTAAATTCTTTTTAAATTCCCATGATCTTTTAACAATTGTGTGGCATATTACAGAGAGCCCTAGTTATGAGCAACCCTGACATGCTATTTGTTAAAGAATAAAGATAGCAGCCTTGTAGAGCTTGGGTACCTGGTACCTTGCAGAACTTAGAAGTAGCTATTTAAGAGTATTTTAAACATGTTTTCTTTTTGGGAGAGGAGGTGAAGGGGGGGCACAGCAGTTTGTTTTTTTTAAAAAAAAGACTGTAGTGTTCTCATAAAGATGAACCAAAAAGTATATCCTTAGACAATCTGAAGGTCTAAGAGTTTTGACAAATAGTCTTGCAGAGATTTTCAAACTGTTAATAAAGTTGAAGGGAACTTACCGTGATTAACTGCAAACCTTAGCTTCTGTATCACTGCAAGGTTGCCACTGACTCGGTATAGCCCATCAACATCTAATCCTAAAACACATTTTAAATTAATTTTAATATATGTTAAAAATTCTTATGGATATTCAGGTACATTAATCTGCTGCTTGTTTTAGAGAACAGTCAGAAAAAAGAAACCCCATAAATGTAGACTCCAAATACATTTGCCAATGAAAGTTGATTTAAACTAGCTACTTTCTTGTTGATTTGTAGGGCTCAATTATTTACCGACAAGCAGCCTCCCATTCCAAAACACAGTTGAAATAATTTCTAAAATCTAACATACTAAAAGTGTGTGGATTTCTATCATGCCCAATGAAGCAAGGTATCCAGCTTAGTAAGTTTGAGACCTAATGTTATGTAAGGCACTTTTGAAAATCCTGTCTCTAATATTTAGTTATTGCAAGCAATGCATAATACATGAAGAATTTAAGACACATGTATTCTCTCTAGAATAAATAAAAGCATGAGTGGAGCCTGGGCCCAAGAGGGCAGTGGGAGTGTGGAGCTCAGGTGGGCAGGTGCGAGTATAAGGGATTGTGGCATGCTGTGGGAAACTCCCACACCCTTCCCCCCTTGGTGCATAGCCCCCAGTGTTAGCAGCGGGAGCACGGTAGGAATAATCACCTTCCTACTATTGCCGTAGAATTGGTATATGACCAATAAAAAAAATTAGATGTATACAAGTCAGCGGGACTGAATGATCTTCATCTGAGAGTGCTGAAGGAGCTGGCTGAAGTCACTGAGCAACCCCTGGCGAAACTCTTCCACAACTCGTGGCACTCTGGAGAAGTCCCTGAGGACTAGAAGAGGGCCAATGTTGTACCCATTCACAAGAAGGGCAGGAAGGAAGACCCAGTTAACTATAGGCCAATCAGCCTAACTTCCATCTTGGGGAAAATCCTAAAAAAGTTTATCAAGGAGTCTATCTGTGATAAGCTTACAGAAAGAAAGATTCTGAATGACAGCCAGCATGGCTTTGTCAGGGGAAGGTCTTGCCTTACCAACCTCATCTCCTTCTATGACCAGGTAATTCACCATCTGGACACGAGAGAGCAAGTTGACATTGTATACCTTGATTTCAAAAGGCCTTTGATCTAGTATCCCACAATGTCCACCTGGGGTCACCTCACCCGCAGTTATCTTTTCTGCTTGGTGCAAGGGGCTGGGCTCGATGATCTTCCGAGGTCCCTTCCAGCCTTACAATTTATGAAGCTATGAAACCAGCATGCGGGGGAACTCAGAGTGCTCGTGCCCATGCCAAGCGGCACGTGGCTCTGGCCAGCACTGCACGCAGGGGCAACGAGTGCAGCCCTGCCAGGCCACCTCTATCATGGGGGCTCCGTGCAGTGCACATGGAGCTCCCAGCACTCATATGGCACTGGGGAAAGCCCTGTGTGCTAGAGCCAGCTGCCTTCGCTGCTCTCTTCTGTGCAGGTTCTGGGACTCCGCTGGAAGTGGAGGGAAGCCCCAGTCCCTGCTTCCCCACAGAGTCCCAGGTCTACATGGCAAGGAGTGGCAAAGGCAGATGGTTCCTGTGTGCGGGGCTTAGTCCAGAGAAGGCTGAGAGACGATTTAATAGTAGCCTTCGAGTACCTGAAAGGGAGTTCAAAAGAGAATGGAGCTAGACTGTTCTCAGTGGTGGCAGATGACAGAACAAGGAGCAATGGTTTCAAGTGGCAGCAAGGGTATGTTAGGTTATGTATCAGGAAGAATTTTCTCACTAGGAGGGTAGTAAAACACGGGAACAGGCTACCCAGAAAGGTTGTGGACTCTCTGTCTTTGGCTGGGATAATCTAGCTGGGGATAGTCCTGCTCTCAGCAGCGGGTTGAACTAGATGGCCTCCTGAGGTCTCTTCCAACCCTAAATTTTCTACAATTCTACAGATGAGGAAATAAAAGTAAGTTTGGAGCCCCAGTCATCTACACTTTTACATACAATAAATGATATTATTAGGTTTTATGGTCTTGTGCAGACTTCCTAGAATGGTAAGGGTGGTTTTCAATTTAGCCACCCTTTAATATTTGCATAAGAGGATCTGTACTTTTATTACTGCCCACAGGAGTGCAGGAGAGCATGTTCAATATATTCCAACATTTATAAAAGCTGTAGACATTGATTATTTTAGCTGTGTGAACCATTTTTTAACTTTCATCAGTGCAGTGGGTTGAAGGACCTCAACTAATCTGATGTCACCAAAAGGCACAGATTTTCTAAGTAAGGTTTCCTTGAAATGAACTCACAGAAAAAAATAGCCTTGTTTTAAGAAAATGGTGTTTTGTTACTACAGCAGTTTTCCTGGTTACGTCCTGCTGCTCCACTTCCCACTTCCTCCTCTCCTGTCCAAAATCCCTTATTGATAAGAGATGCTCCCAGTTCCTCTCACCTGCCACCTATCTTGCTGGATCCCCACTGCTGCTGAACTGCCTGATATATGCCCAAATAAGATCCAAGCCTCAACTACAACTTTCTCATAGGGATCTGATCCCTTTCTGTCCATCTCCAATCCATACCCCAAAGGAGATTGCTAACTCTGTATGCAATCCATTGACTTTACAAGAATCAAGTGAAAGCCACAGAACTGTAACCTTTCAAAATCAGGCAACTCAGAGGGCAAGAAAAGACAAATATATTCACCCTACCATGTTCCTCAACATGCTCAATGCACAGCTTCACAAACTTTGGCACGGTGCTGTTTTCTCTCTGGCACAAGCTGGTGAGGTTTGAGCCAAACACCTGATCTGTAAACAAATAAAAAAAAGACTAATTTACAGCGGAATGGGATTCAAGTGATATAATTACTTCCATGCAAAGTCACTCAGAGTAAAAGCTGATGGAAATGGTTACCCAGAGTGTTAAGAGTTACACCAGGCAGGACTTTGAAAACTGCTAAGCATCCAACAGCTACCATTATAAACAGCAGTAGCTGCTAGGTGCTGAACCATGGAAAACCCATCCCCAAATGCAAGAGCAGTCCAATTCTGAAATCCAGCCCAACATGTCTGTCTCATGATTGCGTAAGGAATCTGAAATAAAAACAGTGTACCCCTGATTCAAAGTTCTACCTCACATACAACTGGTAATTTCAGTAAAAATTGCATATAGTTTTTTTCTGTGTTTTGCCATCATCGTGACACTAGAATAAAACTTACGCATAGATAAAAATAGAAAGAGATATTTAACCACTTCTCTTTTGTTATAGCACTCAGCATTCCAGCATCTAACCGCCTGACCTACAGAAATCACTTCTCATACCCTTAGGTGAACTATAATAAGTACCATACAGCTGTCATTTTAAGAAGAGAACTTAAAGGATTTCTGTAAGTCCTGTTGTATCCTGTGCTCCTGACAAGAGTGACCACACAAGTTTGTGCAAAAAAAATGTACTGTCATCCTCGGCCTACATTTTTAGGCAGAGAAGGAGTTTCAACGGGTACTGAATTAAAAGCTTCTGACGCTAGTTTTAATAGTACTTAAAAGAGCTACTAAAAATGACCTTTCACCTTATTTGTCCATTTAACCCCATGTTCATCTGTAAGTGACTTAAGTGCTCTAAGGTATGCGATATGATGTGTGATCAGGGCAGAAGGATGGATGTTTGCCTGTGGACACAAAACTGGGCTCTGCACAGACACGCCAGTACAGGCTTGGGGCCTGGTTTGGATGCCTATATACAGGGTTATGTAACGAGTAGTTTTGAACCTTGTTCTTAAAGCCTACTAGTAACAAAAATAAGGATTTACTGAAGTTCTTACTGCAAAACTGAATGAAAAGCTATATGGACAATGAGATGCAAGCTAGCGTTTAACAAAAAATCTTGCCATGTCAGTTTAAATCTCAGCAATTTGCTGGAGTCCGCACTTGTGCCATGTTTTGTGTTAGGACGGAATAATCTGCCACTGATGCTCTGTAGCAGGGGCGGGCAAAGTCTGGCCTCCGGGCCAGATCCGGCCGGCAGCGGACTCCCATTTCTCAGCAGCCCCTGCCTCTGTAGCTGGGGCCAGTTTCCATGGAAACATCAGCAGCAGCTGCACTGTAATAGCGCTGCTGGGGTTTCCACGGAAACCAGTCCCAGCAGCCTTGGGAGGCAGCAGGAGTGCCAGCCTCTTCTTGGTAGGGAATAAGGAAGGTGCTGTGCGGCAGGCGGGAGCGGGGTGGGCTCAGCTGCTGCCACCTGTGCAGGGCAGGCAGTGACGGTGCTGCTGGGAGGGGTGGCTATGGGGGGTTACAAGGAATTTTGGGGTGGCTAGAGCCCCCTCCAAGCCCCCCCCCCCGGTTGCTGGCAGGGTTCAGAGCTGCTCCGGAGCCCAGCTGGGATCCTGCGGTGGTGAAAGTGTGGTCCAGAGCCAGGGCAGAACCGCAATCTGCAGCCTGCATGCCCTGGGCAGGGGTGTACAGGCCACAGATCGCAACTGTGCCCCAGAGCGCAAGGCTGGGATTGCTATATCACAGCATGGCTGCTGCTGGGGTCTCAATGGAAACTGGCCCTAGGCATGCGGGTAGGGCTGCTGGGAAATGGAGTCTAGCTGCTGGATCCGCCATTTTGCCCATCCCTGCTCTATCATGTAGTATTTCTACATTGCTTTCCCCTTCATTTGCCAATGATGTTGGCCTGCACCTTTTTTCCCCTCATGTCTTTTGCTTTCTTTAGTGGTGCCCCACAAATTGGAAACCTTCCCAATTCAGGTCCATCAGGTCTTTATTTCTCCATTTAAAATCTGTCAGTAAATTGATAAATCACCTGTTTCTATAGTGAAGCTCACAAATACATGAAAAAGCAAAACAGAAAAGGACATTTAGAAGTATAAATGAACCACCTCTCAGGGGACTCCCTGCTAACCTTTTCTTTCCGTCTAGGATTGAATGAAAGCGCTCTCTGGAACAAAATGGTCCTCTCTCTCTGCACCCTCCCCCCACCATGCAGAACAGTTGCTGGTAACCTTGTCCATGTTCAGGCTAAAACTACCAGCCTCAGGTCAGAGGTTGGGGGGTGCTATGACCTGCCTAGTGCTGCCACTTCTCGTGAAGGTGACATGAGGAGAGATCTGGCAGCCATAAGTGCCCTGCTAAAAGCCCCTGAAAGTCCCATGGCCATGGGCCATAGGTTGCCTACCCCGGTATAGAGCACCAAATATTCTTTTGGTGCCTACCTAAACTCAGACTTACATTTCAGACAGGAATGTAGTAAGTTTTGCATCTGTGAATCCTAATGGGAAATCCCTAGACTATTTAAGGACATTTATCTGTCTGCTGCTTCCCGGGGGCCTGCATCCGGGACATTGCGGAGAGGATCCCAAAGCTCCTTAAACCCACAGACCACTATCCCATGCTCCTTATTCATGTGGGCACCAATGACACTGCTCGGAGCACTCCCAGCCAGGTCATGAGGCGCTACAGGGATTTGGGAGCGGGGCTTAAGGGTCTGGGGGCACAGGTAGTGTTCTCGTCGATCCTCCCAGTCTCAGGCTATGGGCTGAGGAGGGACAGGAGGATCTATGTGGTCAACCAAAGACTGCAGCGCTGGTGTCGTCAGGAAGGCTTTGGCTTTCATGACCACAGCCCGCTCTTTGGCGAGAGAGGCAGCGAGCTGCTGGGAAGAGATGGCCTCCACCTCTCTCCCCTAGGGAGGAGGCTCTTCTCAGCCAGACTGGCGGACCTGCTCCACTGGGCTTTAAACTAAGCCTGTTGGGGGACGGGGGGACTATCGCCACTGCTGGCACGCTGAGCAATCCTTGCAAAGCCAGCAGATCACGGCGCTTCAGGGAGCCCACCCCTGCCCCAGCCCTGGTAAAATCTGTGTGCAAGGAAGGAGCCCCCCAGGGGGCACTTGCCTGCCTGTACACTAATGCCAGGAGCTTGGGGAATAAGCAGGAGGAGCTCATCCTCCTCCTCAGTGCAAACAATTACGATGTCATAGGGATAACGGAGACCTGGTGGGACTCCACCCATGACTGGACCACGGGGATAGATGGCTATACCCTGTACAGGAGGGATCGTGTAGAGAAAAGGGGCGGGGGGGGTAGCTCTCTATGTTAAGGAAAACTACACATCCCTGCAAGCCGATATTGGCGACCAGGGTGGACGGCTGGAGACCCTCTGGGTTAAAATCCGTGGGGAACACAGCACAGGGGAC